CCCGATCCAGTTGCCGGCCAGCATACCGAAGCTGGGCCTTGTCCCACCACATGGCCCGAATACCTTGAGGCCACCCTACGAGATGGACGCTGGGTGGATGGTCTCTCACTGCTAGCCGCCAGCCGACGGTACGGGGTATACGTGGTGATAGTCCCGATGGTTGGCAACCGGGAACAGACACCTGTCTGTTTTGGCCAACCACGTGCAGCGAAAGACCCCATGGTGCTCGTCTTAAGAGGCGGGCACTATACGCTCGGAAGGCTCAAAGAAGGGCGAGCGTGGCCACGCCACTGGCTTCAAGCGGAGCAAGCAAGTGTCAGCCACGCCATGTTCCGCGGTGGCGGCAACCACAAAGTGCCGTCATGGAGCCCCGGCGGATCCAGCTGGCGCCCAAGTGCGACGCCGAAAAGTACCCTGACTGAGTGGCGGCCTGATGCCACGCCAAAGTCAGTCAAAGGCAAGGGCATAGCCACGTCCTCCGACGGCACGGACCGGGGCTGCAAAAAGTCAGTAGGAGTAAAAACCAAAGTGAGCGCCGACTGGCGGCCAGACGCCACGCCAAATTCGGCTAAAATAATGTGCATGGCAGCGTCGTCCAAGGGGGGCAAAGTGAAAGGTGGCAACAGCAACTCCTCACCCGTGGCGGACAAAGGCTGCAACACATGGACTTGCTCTCTCTGCCACCTTGAAGTGAGGGCCCCACGTGTGGACCTGCTGTCCAAGAAAAGGTCCAATCACTTGGCGCAGGCGCACCCAGGGGTTGACAGGACCCAGCTCAACGCCATCCGTCCCCGGCCTGACTTGGTGGAGCCTGGCGACCTGCCCTGGAACCAACGTGCCTGGACGTGCGCCAAATGCAAACTTGGACTCCCCGAGCTCGCCCCGTGGCTACTCCGCAGGTGGGCGACTTGGCACCTGGCCAAGTGCAGCAAGCTCAACATGCGCCAAAACCGGGCGCTGCTCAGCAAAAAGGGGTTGACTAGTGCCAAGCTTGGTGTCAACAAGCACCATTTCACCAAACAGCGTGATGCTAACTTGAGTAAAGCTAAGCATCAGCTGGAGACCAAGTCTGGGCACAAACTGCACGTCGTGAATGCAAGGGTTGGTGAGAAGGCTTCCCTCCTTACTTGCACCAGATGCACCAGCATCTTCGAGAGCATGCGCCGTGCTGACAGGAAATGTGGAGGCCAGGCTGCCCGCACCCGGAACCTCTCCATCAAAGCTCGATGGTGGGCACTCGTGTGGAAGAAAGACCCGGCAACCCTGAAGCGCTTCTGCAGTGTGTGGAAAATCACCCAGGAGGAGCTCCGTCACGCTCAGGCTCGAGCCAGAAAGGCGCGGCCGGGCCCAACGCGAGGGCTGGCGCCGCTGCAGGCGACAAGGTGGCAGAGGGACCTGACGGCCGATGGGGACGTCGAACCCCATCCGGGGCCGGGTGGATTACGGCTAGTGACAATCAATGCCGGCGGCAGGGAGTCTGCCTGGAAGACCTTGCAGATCTTGCATTCAGTGGATGTCTGTTTGCTTCAGGAGGCCCGCATGGGTCAGCGCCAGCTCAGCCAGCTCGAAACGCAGGCTCAGCGCCAGGGCTTCCAGGTGTGGTCTGAGCCTTCAAGGTGGAACCCTGAAGTGGAGCAGTGGCAACTCGGACTGGTCCTTCTCGCGCGCAAAAACCTTCGTGTGCGGTGGATGCATTCTGCCAGCTGCGTCGGCGGCCAGTTCGCGGCGGTCAGACTCGACGACATGGTGCTGGTCAATCTGCATTTCCTTCCGTGGAAATCCGTCGACGCCGGCTTTGAAAGTCGCCTCGCTGAGTTCGTTTGCTCCTTGAACCCGCTTCAGCCGTGGGCGTGCATCGGTGATTGGAACTCGTTGCCCAGCGAAAACTTCCTGTTGCACGCCACGGAAGGTCAAGGCGCCACGGTCGCCGCGGTCAAGAACCCGTCAACCGGCGCTCTCAGCCCAACGAGGTGGCAGGGCCGGCGGTGCATCGACTACTGTGTGTGCAACGCCCCTATGCGCGTGAGAGCCACGGGTTTCGTGGAGCAAGTGTTCGGCGATCACAAGCCGGTTAAATTTGGGCTGCAAATGTTCCGTCCAGCGGAGGTTCTGCACTCTCTGCCTAGGGTTCAGAAATTCTTGCAGCCGCAAGATCTCACCCTTGATGCTTGGAGGCAGGAACTCGCCCGGCAGTGGGACACGCAAGTGGGATCTGAGGTCCCTTGCAGCAGCACGGAGGAGGAGTGGAGGTGGTTCAACGACACCCTCGAAGGCGTCTTCCTTGGGGCACTCGGGGCTAGTCGCCCCGCTCGCTGCCGGGCCAAGGGTACGGCGGCCAACCTGCAACCGCGGCAGTGGCAGGCTGGAGCCGGCGGGGACATTGCCACGCACCGGCAACGCCGATGGAGGGTGCTGGTTGCCAGGCTCACGGAACTCCAGCGCTGCCCCAGCGCCTGCCATGAGCAGCGAAGGTCGTTGATCCGGAAGATCAAGAAAGCCACTTGGTGCGGCCTGCCCTTGCACGACAATGCATTCCTGGCGGGACCCGCCCTTGCGGCAGCCAAAGGGAAACTTCAGGAAGTTGATGCCGATGAGCAAAACCTACGCCTCAGCGCATGGCAGCAACGCATGCGCACTGATGCGGTGTTCAAATGGGTCAAAGGGCAGGCGGCCAACACGCCCAACCACGTCTTGTCCCCTTCCGAGCCTGAGCAAGTGTCTGGTTGTGTGCGCCAGTCCCTTGAGTTCCTCCGGGAGCATTGGCGGCAGGTGTGGCGGAGGCCCACGGCTGAATGGGACCAGCTTCGGGACCAGTACGCCGTTCCGGGCGCGCAACCGCAGCAGTGGCACACACCCTCGGCCGAAGAGCTGAGCCGTGCAGCCAAACGCCTTAGGGGCAGCGCTGCCGGTCTTGATGGGTGGCACGGCGATGAGACCAGTGTCATGCCTCTTCAAGCCTGGCAGGCATACCACCAGCTTCTCGACCAGTGGATGAGTAGGGCAGTTGCAGGGGAACCCGACCCGTTTCCGAAGGACTGGCAGGTCATTAAGCAAGTGCACATACCCAAAGCCCAGGTCAGCCAAGGTGGCACGCAGCCGATCACGGCAAAGAGCCTCCGTCCCATTTCGGTTCAGTGCACCATGTGGCGCGTCTTCATAGGCGCTGTCGCTCGCCAAGCCAACTTTGAGCAATGGGTTGATGGCTGGCGCCCGCCCTATGCCCATGGAGGTCTCCGGAAGCGGGGGGTTCACACAGCCGTTGCCTACCTTGATACTCACTTTACGGCAGGGACTGCCCTAGTGTCTCAGGATTTCGCAACCGCTTTTGACCGAGCCCAGCCCGACTTGGCAATTGGGGCACTCGCCGCGGCAGGGGCGTCTGCGGAGCTTACGTGTGCCCTCTCGTGGGTGTGGAAACACCAGAAACGGTGGCTTGTGCTGGGCCAAAATGTGCTGCCGGAAGCCGAAGTAGTGTCTTCTTCCCTGCCGCAAGGTGACCCCATGTCACCGCTTGGAATGCTGGCCTACTTACGTGCGCCCGTGCATGAGGTTGAAGTTGCCATGCGTGCAGCGGGACATGACACGCACGCGGTGACGTACGTCGATGACCGTAACACCATAGTGCAGTGCCCGCAAGCCGCGGCCGCGGTTGTGAACACTTGGAGTGCCATATCTTCAAAGTACGGCGCGCAGGAAAACTTGAGCAAGCTAAAAATTGTGGTCAAGGGTAGCCGTCCCACGGCCAACACCTTCAAGCTGAGAGCACAAGCTTTGGCCGACCTTCCCGAAAGGGTGTGGTGCGCCACGACTCGTGTGCTTGGAGTAGACTTTTGCGGAACCGCCACCGGTAAAGCTGAAGTCGCCGAAGGCCGGTGTCACGAAGGCGTGCGCCGCGCACACCGGCTGTGTGCCTTGCGGCACGCGCGCGCAAGGCTCCTGAGGGTAGCGTCCGCTGCCATCGCCAGTGTGAGCATGTGGGGCTGGCTTCGCAAGCTTCCCAACAAGACGCAGCAAGCGCGCTTCGCACGCCAGGTGCGCATAGCGCTCAGAGACAAACAGAGCACTTGGTCAAAAGACTTGAGGAATATCTTTGTCGGTCACCGCCTCAGTGCTCCTTTTGCCGCAGGATGGCAGTCTTGGACCATGCTCCGAGCCGCCCACTTGGTTGACAGTGCTTCGCTGTCTTGGGATTCTCGCTTGAATCCAGGCACATGGCTTGCCAGCGTGTGCACCTGGTTGGGCTCTCTTCAGTGGCATGCAAATGCACCGTGGGCGTGGCACCACCCCAGACTTGGGATCGTTACGTGGCGCGGTATGGCCGGCGATCATGCCAAGCAGGATCATTTGCTTCGCGAGTCCTGGCGGGAGTTGTGCTTCAGCAAGTTCGTGAGCTCGACGCGCCGAGACGCGGCAATGATTCGCCTTGCCGGGGTTGCCTATTCTGAGCAAAGATGCAAATTGGCCCGCAAAGCGGCCGAGCAGCATGGATTACACGCGGCAGCAGTGCTTGCTGGGGGGGCAGTGAGTGATGCAGTGTTTCAGGTCATGACGCGGAACCCCGTCCGCCAGTCCTGCGTGCATTGCCAAGCGAGTGTCCCATCCACTTGGGATCATGTGAGCTGGGAATGTCCGGCCTTTCATTCTTCTCGACCCGGGATCCCGGGGGACCCACTGCAGAGAAGGATGGGGTGGCCGATGGGGGCGGACAAGCCTTATGATGAGGCGGTGGTGACTCATTTGGTTGAGGTGAGAAGCCGGCTGGTTGATGCCAGGCATGGTCCAGCGGCTGAGGATAACTAGCATGGACCGAAGTGTGCATGCTAGCACTGATGCATTGCTCGAACATTCGATGTTGTGCATCTCTTGAGGACACGGGCCCGGCTCCGCCTTGTCAGGTGTGTGTCGGCATTCATTCGTGAGGAAGCATTGCCGCCTTGCGGCGCGGTGTCGTGACATCCCCGAGGTGCGCGGCACGTTCAATAATATACCCCCGTTTTGAGGCATTCAACACCTTCTTCAGCGAGACTGGAGCGGGCAAGCACGTGCCCCGTTGCGTGATGGTGGATTTGGAGCCGACGGTCGTGGATGAGGTTCGCACGGGCACGTACCGCCAGCTCTTCCACCCCGAGCAGCTCATTTCCGGCAAAGAAGACGCGGCCAACAACTTTGCGCCAGCTCTGGGTTTAGTTTCATTGTTTCTGTTTTTTTTCCCCCCCCTTTTTTTTTTCGTGGCAGGCCATGGGTTAGTTTTATTGTTTGTATTTGTGGCTTTTATTCGTGGCATGCCATTAGCCCACCTCGCTTAAACAGGCTTCAAATTCCATGCATGTAGCGGCATTTCCAGCTCAACATTGTGCCTGTCTTTTGTTGGGAGAATGTTCTCGCTCAGGCGCGGGGGCATTACACAATCGGCAAAGAAATCGTGGACTTGGTCTTGGACCGATGCTAACCAGCATTAGGAAAGCTTACAGATTCACGTTGTTGTTGCGTGGCAGTTTGCAAGGGTCTACCAGCGTGCGTGACTGAGGAATCCGCAAGTTGGCCGATAACTGCACCGGATTGCAGGGTTTCTGCGTGTACAATGCTGTCGGCGGCGGCACAGGATCCGGCCTGGGCTGTTTGATGTTGGAGCGCTTGTCCGTGGACTATGGTAAAAAGAGCAAGATCTCCTTCACAGTTTGGTCGTGTCCACAGGTGGCAACAGCAGTGGTAGAGCCATACAACACTGTCCTTTGCGTTCATTCTCTGCTCGAGCACACGGATGTGACCATCATGTACGTGCCTCGGAAGCAATCCCTGAGTGGACGCGAGCATTTGATGAAACAGAAATGACACCATGCTTGGACGCGTTCGCTTGCGGTAGGCCCTGCTAGCAATTTTGCTGATGCAGACTAAATCGCAACATGGCCGAAAGGTCGCCGAAAAATGCAATGAACCTTCCCCCCGATTGTTCAACGTCTCTTCAACTGTTTTTGAACGTGCATAACGCATCCCGCAACTCTGTTGGGAGCCTTTTGACGCAATCAGGACAACGAGGCGTTGTACGACATTTGCCGCAGGAACTTGGACATTGAGCGCCCGACCTACACGAACCTCAACAGGTTGATCGCTCAGATCATCAGCTCTTTGACGGCAAGCCTGCGGTTCGATGGGGCTTTGAACGTGGACATCACCGAGTTTCAGACAAATCTTGTCCCTTACCCGCGCATCCACTTCATGCTCACCTCCTTCGCTCCCGTGATCTCGGCAGAGAAGGCATACCATGAGCAGCTCTCTGTGGCGGAGATCACTATGTCCGTGTTTGAGCCTGCCTCAATGATGGTCACTCAGTTGTCAAACAGCAACCTGTTCATTTGTTGGCTCCCAGTTGTGAGGCTGAAGTTTGTTGTAGTCCAAAGGGTTTGTTCCTCCTCCAGCCTCTGGGGGCAACACAGGTGAAGTGCGATCCTCGCCACGGCAAGTATATGGCTTGCTGTATGATGTGTCTCGGCCAGTCATCAAGCAAGTTGGTGTGATCATAGTGACATGACATATGTAGTTGCATGGTTGAGGTTGGTGTTTTCTTGTGTGGTTGCATGTTGTCAGTGTTGGAAGCTGCATGCATGCGGCGAGGTTCAGTGTCCAACATGGATGGTTGCAGTTGTTTGTTAAAACATGGCATCAGGTACCGCGGGGATGTTGTACCAAAGGACGTGAATGCGGCGGTTGCCACCATCAAGACCAAGCGAACCATCCAGTTTGTGGACTGGTGCCCCACCGGCTTCAAGTGCGGCATCAACTACCAACCTCCTACAGTGGTGCCTGGTGGTGATTTGGCCAAGGTCATGCGTGCGTGCTGTATGATTTCCAACAGCACGGCCATCGCCGAAGTCTTCTCCCGCATTGACCACAAATTCGATCTGATGTACAGCAAGATCCTTGCTTGCAAGTTGGAGTCATTGTAGAACGACACGTCTGCAAGATGGAATGTGTAGTGATATCGCCTTTGGGGGTCCCATCGGCTTATTGTGGATGTTGAGGGTATTCTTTTTGGTTGGGGTTGTGCAAATGGAATTCGGCAGAACCACCTGTTTTTGGGCTTCCCTGACTTTGACACAACCTCATATTGTCAGCTGCTCATGTGAGCAGCTGACACACATTGATCGTCTATGCTGAATTTTGGTACAGTAGGCTTTGACTGTCCGGTTTTCCCTGTAGACTTGGGCCGCACCCAGCTTTTCCATGTCTTTCTGGGGAACCAACCGAGCCCGCTGCTTCGCTGACCGCAATCCAGAACTTACCCTCCCACCAATTCACATGGCACCTGGGGGTCTCCAGGACCTTTCTGTCAGGTTCCATGTTAATTGGTGGGAGGGCACATCAAGTTGCCGTTTCGATACACATGCATGCTCTTTGCCCATTTACCGTACTGGGCGTCTTTTGAGATCACTATGTAGATCGCCACGCGATAGGTGGCATGTTTCCGGCTTTTGTTGCATGTTTGGATCGGGCGGTTTCATTTTCAGTTCTCTAGCATCTGTGTTTCCTCACCACGGGCGGACTTCGCCTCAAAGGCGCGCTTTCGTCCACCACTACGTGGGCGAGGGCATGGAGGAGGGCGAGTTCTCCGAGGCGCGCGAAGACTTGGCGGCTTTGGAGAAGGACTACGAGGAGGTGGGCATCGAGACGGCCGAAGGGGAGGGCGAAGAGGAAGGCACGGGAATTCCGAGAGCCGTGGAAGTTCGGGGGGAAAGGGGATTTTCGGGTGGTTGTGGGAGCTGGCATGTGCCGTTTTGGTTTGTTGTGTGTGTGTTTGTTTGTTTGTTTGTTTGTTTGGTTGGTTGGTTGGTTGGTTGGTTGGTTGCTTGCTTGCTTGTTTGTTTGTTTGTTTGTTTGTTTGTTTGTCTGTTTGTGTTTTCATGTGTGTATCTGTGCAGAAGCATTTCTGTACGACCAACTGCCCACATTTACTACGGTAGTCAAGAGGCTGACATGCCGCACACTCATCAACACGCCATTAGGACATGGGGATACTCACCAAACTCCCATGTCAGTTGGGAACACAAAATGTTGTGATCACATGACAGGTATGCATGTGCGTTTTTCTCTCTGTTCTGTGTGTGTGTGTGTGTGCGCGTGACTCTTATGGTTGTTTGCATTTGCATTTCTACCATGCTAAAGACAATATGTTGCTTGTGCTTGGCAGTTGCAAGTGCTCACATCTTGTAAAGTCTTTGAATCTTAAGTTTATGCAAGCAGCCTTGCACATGTTGGGCAAGCTAAAACGTGCTCAGAAAAGGGGTTCCTTTCTTGTGGGCTCCGTAAATTCGGGTTGGTGAACCATTTCTCATTCACCGTTTGAACACAGCAGGCATCCTTCTTCCTTCCGTCCAGCCCACGTCAGGCTACGGTGATGAGTTCTAGGCCGACGCTGAGCCCTCGGCCTTTGAGTCTTGCCTCGCTCGCCAGTGGCGAGGGAAAGGCGAGAGCTGTGTCCACTGCGGTTGATCAATGCTGTTGTCCAAAGGTGTCTCGCACGCGGGGGGTGACGATATGCTTCTGTTGCCACGGCAACCAGCCAGCCAGTGGGTCAGCGGGATCTGGTGTTTCTTGCCTTCTGGGTTCAATAACACTTGAACTCTGGAACTGCGACGGGCAAAATGAAGAGATGCCTGCTCTTGCGCCGGGTTGAAGCAATGGGCCGGCTTGAAGCTGGGAGTCACACACTTGGAACCAAACTTTGGCCTCAATTCTTCCCAGAATTAGTTCCCCTTTTTCCTTCTTTGCTTTTTTGGTTGGTCCCCTTTGTTTTTCCACCAGGCAAAAAAGAGATATATTTTTTGCCGGGGTCCGGATTCTTTTTCTAGCCAAGTATAGCGTGATTCCGGGTTCTTTTCGAGCTTGAAGGTAGGCCTTCTGGCGAACAGACGCAAAGAAAAATCTCCCAGCTCGTTGTGACAACTGACGCCTAAAAGAACCCACCCTGTGAAAGGTCTGCGGTCTCACAAGCCAGAAGAGCAAACCGCCAAAAAATATCGCCCCGAACTTGGTTTGGTTTTGGACAAATGTGCTTGTTGAACTTACACCCTACAAAGGGATTCCTTTCTCTATACCAAGGTGTGATGAGAAGGAATTCACAAGGTCAGAACATGCAACCTGCAAAGTGAAAGGGGGAGGGGAGTTGAACTGTTTGCCCATCTGCAATTTGGGGAGTGTCGTTGCCACTTCTTTTTTAAGGTTGGACCCCCCCAAATGTCGATGTTCCTTTTTTGGTTTCTCTTTAAAACCCACCAACACGATATACCCTCAAAAAAGACACACATTGGGAACAGGGGTCACTGGCATCTCACCCAACAAGTTGCGATTCGCTGGTGCCTTCCATTCAACAACTGCCAATGGAGGTGAAACAAGGGGGCCGGATTAATAACCCGTCCTATCACTAGAGTGCCCCTGGGTGAAATGTGGTGATTCAGACCACTTTTGGAGGGGCCACCCCCTTATGGAGCCCTGACCCGGAGAACGGGTTCCAAGCCGAAGATCAAGATCACTTCCTGTCTTCTCCAAAAAGTTTAGAAGGAATGGGTGTGTCTTAGAATAGGGACCCGCAAAAGTCGGTGTTTTCCATTTGTTTCCCTTTAAAACCACCACCAAAAAGGGTACCATCAACACTTTCTTGGTACCCAGATGTGGGCCCCAAGACAACCAAAGTCACTTCAGGCGTTTTGGCTGAAGCCACCATGCCGAACGAGGAAGCGGGTGGTATGCGTAATCTGAGATGGCTTCCGCTAGCCCCAAGCCACTACCCCAAAGGAATATCGAGGTCTATAGCCTTTGCATGGCTTTTATGTAGTGGTTGTATACCCCATGTTTTTGGGGAAGTGCTTTCGGGGGTAATTAGAGGCCACCATGAAAGACATAAGCTTTCAAGTTGAAAGGACCAAATCAGAAACACTCGGATGGTAATGAGGTGTTATGGGATATGCAGCCACATGGCCACTATATAAAAGGGGTATACACCAAGCGATGTCCGACCGGGTAGCTTCGATTTTTGGGGGGAGTGGACGCCACTCGTCAGGCTCCAAGCGCCGGATCCTCCGCGTCTTGCAGGCGGGTCCCGGGCATGATACACCGCCGGGAAAACCCCTCCCCCTGTTCTTTTTCTTGAGTCTCACTTCCTGAGTTCATGAACTTTACACTTTTTGGGGCTGGACCATTTTAGTGGCAAATATACAGTTTGAACTTTTTTTGGGCCAGCCACTCAGCCAGTGAGGACCAATGTCAACCAGGAGTCTATGACTCAGGTTTGTGAAGCGTGGACATGGGTGTGGCTCAAAATTAACCAGGAGGGGCAAACCGCAGGTTTTGGTCCATGTTTCCACTTACCAGGGCAACCCATTTTGGAATTCCGGTTTTTGAGCCATAGCCAAATGGGGTGAAATGGAAAGGGACCCGGGTTTGCCGCCAAAAGCTTGAGAAGCCTGCCCGTGCATCGCCCTTACATTCGAACGGACGGGCGTTCTGTCGTTGTGTTGGGGGGAACCCACCCCTTTTGGTTGGTTCCGGGAAACCAAAAGGACAACGGCCATGTTTGGTTCCCGTATTTGTCAAATAGGAAGGCATGTTTGAGGAAACAAGGGCTAGAATTGGGGGAAATTACCGAAACAAATCCCAAACAAACCCAACATAGCCAGGTGTATCTGGAAATAGTGCAATAGCAGAGCGTTGAATCCTTTACTTCGTACTTCAAGGGCATCTCGAGGGAGAGGCGTTTTGGAGGTTTGGATGCTGATATACCACAATTATAAGTTTGTAAGGCAGTATGTGCCCCTTAAATGGTATATAGCCTCCTTGAAAACTCCCTTCATACTTGCCCACGCGAAAGGGATGGTGCTATCAGCCAAAAGAGCCGAGCAATGATTGTTCGCGCTTCTGCTTGCAACCCGCTTGCTGGGACGCCCCCGTTTGGCATCCAAGGTGATCGGCTGTTTTGCCCCACATCCAGGATGTTCCAGCATGCCCCAGGGAAAAAACAACACCAGTAAATTCTACCGGAACTTGGCCAGCCCCCTCTCTCCTCCCCCCCACAAGAAAAACCAAAGAAAAACGAGGCGAGACCTAGACTCTACCCTGTTGGTGTTAAAGGGAATCAAGGGAATCTATCACTACTTAGGCAAATGAGCCATTGGCTCAAAAACCCGGGTAGGTGAAGGTTAGAAATGGATACTGCCAATCAGAAAATTGGGTGCAGCCACCTTGTTAACTCTTTACATGGTTCTGGAGATCGACCATTTCAATACTGTGGATGGACGAAATCCGTTGGCACCACTTTGAACCAGAACGTTTGTTGGCATAGGTGTTGTTTTGGTTCAAAAATAGATGGCGATTCCTGGTTTACCTGGTGGTTTCATCATCCAGGGATATCCATGTATTTCCAACCGAAAAGGACACCTATGTTTGTTGGTATTTGCCGGGGGGTCGATTCATTCCAGGGCTTCTGAACTTGGCGGTGCCCAAGGCACCCAACATCACACCTGAGGTCTCTACTTCACCCCCCACCCACCCTCCGCTAGCCCTCCATGGATTCTTGCCCGAAACTCATTTCCCTTAGCCGTTTTGGCGTTTTGGGTGGGGGAGTGTTGGGGGGGGAAGGATGGTCTTCTATGATCCCTGGCCCTGGCCAGAAGTTCACCCTCCCAAGCACCTGACAATTGGAGTGGGTGGACTGACTCGGCGTCTGACTCGGGTCCTGCGATCTATCCCGAAAAGCCCCGACGGTCGTTGGGAGGGCTCGAGACTTCGTCGCCAGGTGGGCCACAGTCAACGCCCTTTGAGATGAAGGTTAGTAATGTTGACCCAGGATCTAAGTAGAACCCGTCCCACTAGTAGGGGGGTGTTTCCCGCCCAAAGTGGTCTGAATCCCCACTGAAAGGAATTGGACACCCCCCTATTAATCAACCAGGGGTGTATTAATCCGGGGTTAACACTAAGGGACAATCTCCTTGCCATAAATCGCTGCGGATCTCCGCCTTTTGAATTAATTCTTGAAGCATGGTTCTAGGGATCAACCATTTTTGTACCAGGTTGTGATTGTGACTCACCTGGGACAAATGAAGCCCTCAACCTTATGGGTTTTTGTGAATGCCTGGTTCCCGGTACCTTTGGCTTTCGTGTTTCTCGTGCATGTTTTGGGAGTTGGTACTCACCTTGGCATGCTTGTTGTTGGGAAACATTTTACATTTTTGCTTATTGTGGTTTAGTGGTTGAAATTCAACCACTTAACTGCTAAAATCTGAGACTTTTTGCTCCCCTAACCCAACGTCAACCAAGTTCTGAGATATCAACAAGTGGGTACGGGTCAAAATTAAAGCACCAGGGGACCGCAGGTTAAATCGTCCTTGGTTCCATTTAGGCTTCCAAAATGGAGACCCATTTTTGACAACCACTGCCAAATGAAACCCCCTTTTGATCAGCACCCAAAACCCGAGCTGACTGTTGGTTCTAAGTTGGTTACAAAGATTTACACCCAAGAACAAGTTGGTATAAAGCTGGTTTATAAAGTTGGTTATAACCACTTTTTGGTTACTAAGTTGGTATAAACCTTTTGACCCAAGTGACGTCAGGTGGGCCACAAGGCGGAGGCCTGGGCCCTGGCGCACCACCCGCGCCTGGCGAGCCTCTGCGCCAGCGCGGACCAGCGGGGCGCCGCGGCCTCGGAGCGAGAGGTCCGCCCAGGTGCTCAAAAAAGGAAAAGACGTGCTGGTTGGATGCTCCCCTCTTGGTTTGGGAAGGGAATCAATATGTTTTTTACCGGATGATTATTTTGTAATTTGATTTGTTCCAGTGGGTGAAGAAGCAAATGGAGGTGAAAGGTGAATCTTCCAAGGCTTCGGATGCGGTCGCCAGGGTATTATTTATGCATGCTTGGGTGGCTTGTCTTATTTTTGGGCGGACGCGCAACATGGCGGAACAGTTTTTCTTTTGGTTTTCCTTTAAAGCAGACCAAACGTGGTACCAACTCCAAGAAACGACATGCATTCGGAAGAGGGGCCACTGGCATTTGCCAAATAGTTGATCGATTATTACCGGTGGTGTCGATTCCAAAACTGCAACAGGTGAAAAAACAGGGGGACCTTCCCTTAGTGTCGACCCGGATTCATAAAGCTGATTCATCACTTTTGCTCCTATGACTAAGACGGGCTTATGAATCAGGAGGTGAAAAAAAGGGACATGTTCCCCTTTCAGGACGGACAGCCTTTGTAGGACCCATGCTCCGCGGAAAAAAAAAAGAAGAGAGAAACAGGGTTAAGTTTTTTTCGCCTCCCGTGGGTGTTTTCGCTTTCCGCTCCTCTCCGCTCCCTTTTGGCGCGCGCGAGCCATGGGAAGCGGATGTGGGCGGAACGAATCCGTTGGTGGCACCCGCGGCTTGCCCGTCCCACACGCAGCCAGGGCGTGTCTTTAAAAAGCCGGCCCTCGAGGTGGGGGTTTTGCATCCCGTTAACACAAACCCAGGTGGGTTGCCCATTTCACGTCCATTTGTTGGCGGTAATTCACCGACGCATTTTTTGCAAGTTGGACGTCATGGTTGTTGTTGCGAAACAATTTACATTTTTGCTTGTTGTGGTTTAGTGGGAAATCCCCACTCAACTGCCAAAATCTAATTTGTTGCTCCCCTTCCAACGTCAACCAAGATGTCGCCCAAGTTTGGCCCTTTAAATTGTCATTTGTTGTTGGTGGTAATTTGTTGTTGGGCATTCCAAGGGGGACGTGTTGTTTTTTTGCAAGGGGGACGTAGCCAAAGTTTGGCCAACGATTAAATGGTCATTTGTTGTTGATGGTAGTTTGTTGTTGGGCATTCCATTCCCCATTTGTTGGTGGTAATTTCCCACATCCATTTGTTCACGTCCACTTAAGCAGGGCTCCTTAAAAGAAAACTATGTTGCCACCACTTGAAACATGGCTGGCTTTTTTCAACACCAAAATAAGGGGGGGTCCCACCATTTACAAGTTGCAAGTTTGTTCCTTTTTTTTCCATGCCTCCGGATCCCTGGATCGAGGTCCAATTGGATGGATGCTCAGGTGGTGCACTTCTGGGACCTGGAGAAGCGGCAGGCGCTGGTGCAGAAGAGCCTTGGGCGCAGTTTGCCGAGGGAGGTTCGGACTTGAGAACTTTTTGCCAACTAAAAGTTGAAATAACCACTAGATAAACCACTAAGAGGTCCGACGTTGAACTTTTAGCAACTTGTTTGCCAAGGGTTTTTTCCGTACTACAGATTTCGCAACCGAGGACCTACCGCTCCGACCAGCCAGTGAACTGCCTGGAGTTCAACCCCGAAGGCGGGGGCGAGGAAATGACTGGATGTGCGTGGTCGAGACTCACCCGTGTCCAACCTGACTGCCAAGGCATCTCGTGGCAACTGCTTGCGGTCGGTCTGTTTACATCCAAAGGATCGACTCTGCCCTGGGTCCTGGTTGAAGTTGCGGAGCAAACAATGGGATTGATTGCGTTGTTTTTATGCTACCCCTTTTTGGTTGGTGTTAAAGGGAAACCAAAAAGAAAACGACCATTTTGGGGAGTCCCCCTAAAAAAAAGACACACCCAAATGTTGTTGGACTGTCCGATTCATTTGGGTGTCGCTCAAAATTAAGCAGCCGGAGTGACGCAGGTTTTAGCGTTTGTTCCCAATTCCAGGTGCCACATTCGGAGAACTTCATTCTTTGAGCCATCACAGAGAAGGGTGGGGGGGCCCTTTGCAGCAGTAGCTAGGTGGCTTATCCCAATTGCATTTCCTCCATCCCAACTGACTCATTGTGGCCGGGCTCATTCCCTTCCAGGAGCTGGCTTGCTCTTGAGCAGCAGGTCAATGTTTAGACCCTTGGGTATGGAAAAGCTATACTTTTTCTTTTCCGGAGGGCTTGGGAGGGCGTGGACTGACCCTGGTAAACCAAGAAAGGGAAGGAACCCACCCCAACCACTTCTAGGTCCTCCGGTAGAGAGGTCAGAATAAGGGTACCCTTTTTTTTCTGTAGTCTATTTTAGTAGGGGAACCCTCCCCTTTCCAAAAAAGGGGTGACTTGACGGGCACCAATTGCTGGGGGACCTAGCCTCCCACCAACCCCCGAATTTAATAAACTGGGGCTTGGTTCACATGAAATCAACGCTACCCTCCCACCTAGCTGGGCACCCCACCTTCCACACGAGAACTCCTCCCCACAAGACACCAAACAGCCCGCCCCCACGTTTGTATGTATGTATATATATACATTGTGAAGCCTCCGGCTCAGTCCGCCGACATTGTCCTCTCCCTTTTCTCCTTCTTCCTCTCTCCCTTGTCTCCCTGGTGTGTTCTGTCGTCCTCTCTCCCTCCCTCCGCTCCCCATCCTCCCCATCCCCCCAAGCCACTCTCTCCCCAATCTCCCTCTCTCGTATGTATGTATGTGTGTATGTATGTATGTATGCATGCATATACGTATGTATGTAATGTAATGTAATGTAATGTAATGTAATGTAATGTAATGTAATGTAATGTAATGTAATGTAATGTAATGTAATGTAATGTAATGTAATGTAATGTATGTATGTAATGTATGTATGTAATGTATGTATGTAATGTAATGTAATGTATGTAATGTATGTATGTATGTATGTATGTATGTATGTATGTATGTATGTATGTATGTATGTATGTATGTATGTATGTATGTATGTTGTATGTATGTATGTATGTATGTATGTATGTATGTATGTATGTATGTATGTATGTAATGTATGTATGTATGTATGTATGTATGTATGTATGTATGTATGTATGTATGTATGTATGTGTATGTATGTATGTATGTATGTATGTATGTATGTATGTATGTATGTATGTATGTATGTATGTATGTATGTATGTATGTATGTATGTATGTAATGTATGTATGTATGTAATGTAATGTATGTAATGTAATGTATGTATGTAATGTATGTATGTATGTATGTAATGTATGTAATGTATGTATGTATGTATGTATGTATGTATGTATGTAATGTATGTATGTATGTAATGTAATGTAATGTAATGTAATGTATGTATGTATGTATGTATGTATGTATGTATGTATGTATGTATGTATGTATGTATGTATGTATGTATGTATGTATGTAATGTATGTATGTATGTATGTATGTATGTATGTATGTATGTATGTATGTATGTATGTATGTATGTATGTATGTATGTATGTATGTATGTATGTATGTATGTATGTATGTTATGTATGTATGTATGTATGTATGTATGTATGTATGTATGTATGTATGTATGTATGTATGTAATGTATGTATGTATGTATGTATGTATGTATGGTATGTATGTATGTAATGTATGTATGTATGTATGTATGTACGTATGTATGTATGTATGTATGTATGTATGTATGTATGTATGTATGTATGTATGTATGTATGTATGTATGTATGTATGTATGTATGTATGTATGTATGTAATGTAATGTAATGTAATGTAATGTAATGTAATGTAATGTAATGTAATGTAATGTAATGTAATGTAATGTAATGTAATGTATGTAATGTAATGTAATGTAATGTATGTATGTATGTAATGTGTAATGTAATGTAATGTAAAGTGTAAGGTATGTATGTTGTGTAATGTAATGTATGTATGTATGTATGTATGTCTGTATGTCTGTCTGTATGTATGTATGTATGTATGTATGTATCCTTGCACTTCCCCTTTGCTCCCCAGTATTTCCCGCAAAAAACACTGTTTTTCCAGCGTTTTCGCAAAGATGATGTCCAAAAACACAGAGTTTTTCCAGATTTTCGGCAAAAGGATGCAGGAAGCCCAAGCCAGCAAAAAAGCCGGCAGGGGGAATCGAGCCTGGGACCCCTGTTTTGCGACACCGGGTCCCCGAAGACTACGTTTAGTGGAACGTCATCAAATTGCCGCGCGGTCCTTGGGGGGGGGGGGCCCCCCCCGGTCCTTCCCCCCCCCCCCCCCCACGTATCAGACGTCGGGTGGGGGGGGGTTAGGGGGGGGGTTATCCTCTATCCTCTCTTAGGTGTCCGACACGCCGAGCAATAGGCAGGAAGCCAAGCCAGCAAAAAAGCCGGCAGGGGGAATCGAGCCTGGGACCCCTGTTTTGCGACACCGGGTCCCCGAAGACTGTTTAGTGGAACGTCATCAAATTGCGCGCGGTCCTTGGGGGGGGGGGGGGGGGCCCCCCCCCCCCCCCCCTCCCCCCCCCCCCCCCACGTATCAGACGTCGGGTGGGGGGGGGGTTAGGGGGGGGGGTTATCCTCTATCCTCTCTTAGGTGTCCGACACGCCGAGCAATGTCGGCGGATATAAACACACACACACACACATGGGTGTTTCTTTTTGTTAGGGAACCCCTGATTGTTTGGTTTCTCGAGGGAAGCCAAAAGGAACACCTTTTGGTGGGTTGGATCCCTAAAAGAAGACACACCAATGTGCTTGCAGTGCAACCAGGTGGCATTGCCGATCAAGGAGAACCATCAAAGAAGCCGAAGCCATTTTGGGGGTTCGGGGTCCGACCCCTAAAAAAGGAGACACCCCTTTACACCGACAAGACACATCACTTTTTTTGGAAGACCTCGGTTTCACCAATCTTCTTGGTGGTTCCCAGCCATCCGGTTCCTTAGCTTTTTAGATCCTTTTAGTGTGTGGGCATTTCCGTATTTAACCCACTAAAAGTTATTCACTTTTAGCGGATCAGAAAACGGACAGCCCAGTCTCATCTCCACCGTCAGGAGACCTGCTGGCGCTGGGGCAAGATGGCCTGGTGACCTTGCTGGAGTTCCCCTCCATGCAGAGCGCCGGCCTCGGGGCCTCGGGGGATTCTCGGGGGACTCTCGGGGGGACTGCCCGGGACTCGGGGTGTCGAGCGGGGCGTTTTTTTTTTTTTAATGAAAGAAATAATAATAAATAATAATAATAATAATAATAATAATAATAATAATAATAATAATAATAATAATAATAATAATAATAATAATAATAATAATAATAATAATAATAAATAATAATAATAATAATAATAATAATAATAATAATAATAATAATAATAATAATAATAATAATAATAATAATAATAATAATAATAATAATAATTAATAATAATAATAATAATAATAATAATAATAATAATAATAATAATAATAATAATAATAATAATAATAATAATAAATAATAATAATAATAATAATAATAATAATAATAATAATAATAATAATAATAATAATAATAATAATAATAATAATAATAATAACAATAATAATAATAATAATAATAATAATAATAATAATAATAATAATAATAATAATAATAATAATAATAATTTAATAATAATAATATATATATATATATAATTCAACTTTTGTTCGAATGGAAACCGTTTTTTAGCGTGGGCTCAAAATGAGAACAAGCAAGGGGTATGAGAAAAGCACGTCAGCAACAGGAGGTGCTTTTCCTTCAGCTAGAGGAGGAAAGTGTGTGTCAGTGGGGGCGAGCGCGCGCGGTCTGTGTGTGTGTGTGTGTGCGCGACTCTAAACATGAATTGAGACCCCCACAACTAAACACAGCTAACAACCCAAGGAACCGGGTTGAGATTTTTACATGTTTGGCCCATTTCAGCGACTATGGAACTAAGGGGGTAGGTACAAGGGGGGGGGGATATTTGAGAGCCCCTTTCGGGTTCCTTAAGGTTCCCGGAACGGGTTCCTTCGGAAGTGCTAGGGTATCGGACCCCAAAAATGGGTGGTTTTCCTTTGGTTTCCCATTCCAACCCCAAATAAGGGGGACACCTTCACCCACTTCCATGTTGTCGCTGGCCCGAGGCGTGTTTCGCCGGAAGGTCTCCTCCGGCGAGATCCGCGGCAAGGCCGGCGGGTTGGCGCCCTGTGCGAGGCTTCGGAGGAACAACACGGAGGTGACCTCACCCGCAATGAAGGTCCCTGTTCTCAAGAGCCGGTTTTTGTCGGGTTCAACTTTGCTTCTTTGGTGCATTCCAAGGGATGCTAGGAGACTTCAGCTTTTTGCCAACTAATGGGCTTTCCGAATTAAGCCACAAAAAGTGATTCACTTTTCGCAGGGGAGCAGAAAGCAACCGAGAAAAGAGCCTCTCGCGAAGCTTCGGACTGGGTCTCTGGAAGTTGCATTTTGTGTTCTCAACATTTCATGGTCGTAATTATGTTCTTTTCTGATTGAAGGCGCCACCTTTCAGGGAGTCATTTGAGGATGTTTTACTATGGGTCCCCTGGACTAAGCGTTCCTTCCCAGCCGTCCGGTTCAGAAAGGTGTTTAGTGGGTTTAGTGGTTGGGTGTCCAAACATTTAACCCGCATGTGGAACTTGAGCAGATCTGAAAACGGACAGCCCAGTTGAGGGAACCCCCCCTGCAATGGTGGTTGTCCTTTTGGCTAGCCTTTAAATCCGCAAGAAAGGGCGACAATCAGGTAAGTAGGTCACCATGGTTACAACTGGTGCAACTGGGGTTAGTCCTCTTATAAACATGGTTATAGCCTACTTCCTGATGTTGTTGGATATCCAAGTTGGAGGTTGCAAAAGCCCTGGTGAAGGGAACACTTGCATCCAACTGGGGGTTCCTTTATTCACCCGGACTCGGTCATTCCTTACTGGGAACCAGCAGAAGAAGACCGCCACGCTGTTTTCTTTGCCGGAAATTTGGGGGGAGGGTTCCGAGACTTGGTGGCAAGCCCAGCCATCCGGATCCTTAGCCTTTTAGATCTTTTTAGTGCTTAGTGGTAGTTTCCAAATTGAAAACCCACTAAAAGTTCTCAACTTTTAGCGGGGGATCTGAGGCCCGGGAGAGTTTGAGAAGAAAACATGTCTTCTCAACATGTCCCGGGGATTGAGCAGAAACAAGTTGGCCGACCCTGTGAGAACCCGAACAAAACAGCTAGCATCCTAGAACCCATGGTGTGTGTGGGACTGTTATTTTCAGGGAACCACAAAATGGTTTACCTTTTGGTTTCCGTTTACAGCCAACAAAGGGTGCCCTTAACCCAAGACGCGCGCATTTGCTGGAACCCATTTTGGGTCGCCCAACTTTGTTAGGCTGGTGAGCCCATCAGCAGCCTGGCGTTCTCCAACTTCGCGGATGGTGGGGGGTCCCGAAAATGGAGGAAAACGCCCTGAAAAACGGAACGCAGCTGCATTGCTGTCCTTTCCAGGTTGGCTTGCTTGGAAATGGATGGCGTTGGTTTCCATCTCAAAAAACACCCCACAAACATTGCGGTGGGCTTTCTTTTAGGTTAGTTTGGATAGACATAGATTGCACTGGTTTGGTTATTCCGTGTACCAAGGGCCATATTTTTTTCCAGAAGGTCACCTATGAGCAGCTGGCTGTGTGCTTTTTTTCGGAGCCCTTTTCAGGCTGGTTTAGACCATGTTATGGGCCTTCCAACCTGGTACATACCAACTCCAAGGGGGGGGGTGATATTTACGCGTCTTTTTGTTTTAGAAAGTACAAGGAATCTGGCATATGGGGGACTCGCGCCTTTTCCGCACAAAGAGGCCAGGGACCAGGGAATAGGTGTCCTTCATAGGCTAGTTTGCCTGGAAATAGATGTCGTTGGTTTAGTTTAGCAGGGCAATCTATTTTTCCAAAAGGTCACCTATGAACCCAAAACAACCTTTGGTTGTCCTTTGACCGCACATATCGTCTTTTGTGCGGGTCCCCTTTAAGCTGACGTGTCCGAAAGAAGCGCGGGTCAAGATTTGGTTCATGTAGATTCTGACCGTAGCTCATGGCACTGCAAGGCCCTTTGCAACAGAATTCCTGGCTTGAACTCAGCCAAAGCGGTGAACCGTCCGGAAGGGCCTAATGTTAACCCTGGATTATTAAACCCCTGGTTGATTAATAGGGGGTGTCCCCTTTTAGTGGGGATTCAGACCACTTTTGGAGGGAACACCCCCTAATAGTGGGACGGGAACACCCCCCTAATAGTGGGACGGGAACACCCCCCTAAGTTGACTCACTTCACGAGTTCCTGGACTTGAAGCTTCTTGGGTGTTTTGGCGGGTGCTGAGCGTGCTTTGGGGCGGGATTGAATGGGTGTGCTCAAAGCGTCCTCCCCGAGGGGTGACAAGCCACACCGAGGGGCGTCAAACTTTCGCTGACGGTCAATTTCACAGCGTGGGGGGCCGGGCCCCCTTACCATGGTTGTTGTTGGGAAGCATCTTGCATTTTTGCTTATTGCGTTTTTTAATCCAACCACTTAACTGCTAAGATGCTTTTTTGTTGCTCCCTTTCCAACGCCAGCCAAGTATTACAGTCGCAAGGCACAATTCCCTCATCTTTTGGTTCAGCCCTTTGGTGGACAGCCATCTCTGTGGAGATACCCCGGGCGTCGCGCCAGGCGCCAGTGGCCACCAGGAAGCCGAAGTGGGTGAGATCATTTGGCCACCATGGTTTCACCCCTTCGAACACTTCCATCCGCACTGGGTCGATTTTTTTTTGTGCCTGGCAGGGCGTTTTGTTTTTTTGACCCGTGAGGCAGTGCTGCTGGTGCCCTTGGCTTGACTTCAGCAGGGTGCAGCCTCGGAGCAGGTGGTACAGGGACCTCACCAAGGAGGGCATCGAGCCCAACCCCCCGGCCCGGGCTCGCAAGTTGTCCACGGATAGCTCTGCAAAGGGTCGATGGATATGCAGGCATGACTTCAATGGAGCCGAGCACCTCAGAGTACGGAGCGAAAGGACTTGGCATGGGTCTGCCTCAGCTTTTCGAGAGTGGCATGGCGCCAGATTTGGGCAGAGCCACAAAAGCTCAGCCCGCCCAATTTGTTCCTTCTGAGCCGACACCAAAGACACGGCACGTGGAGCCTCAGCCGACTCAGGGAAGGCTTCAGGAGGGGAGAAGCATTGGTTCCATGGCCAAAGGGGCAAGGAAGCCTAGGGCTTAAACCCCAAGGCCAGGGCCTGGGGCCATTATATTGACTGTTTCTAGTCGAAAAAGTCAGAAACTGGTCTCTTTTCCCTTTAACCCACCAGTTAAGGGGTGACTTTGATAGCGGAAAAGGAATGGGGCGAGTCAGTTTAAGGGGCCTCATTCGAATGGGGTTATAAGGTAAGGACGCAGTGTTGGTGAGAGCTGGTTCCAACTCTTAAAGTTCCTCGCGCGGACCCGAAAAGGGAAAAAGGGTGTGTTGCTCGCTGAGGCGAGCAGTCTCGCTACCTGGCCGCGGCTTGTGCCCTGGCTTAAGAGTGTCCGTGTTGCAGCCGCTTGTTGTCTCAACATGGGGATCCCCAGAACGGATTTCGGGTGTCGTTTTAATTTCCCTGTAAAACCGGGCCAAAACGTCGCCCTCAAAAAAAGACCACCCCCATGTGTCTTGAGTTTGGAGCAAGTCAGGGCTTGTTATGTTTCTTGCAAATGACATGGCCTGTCTGCCACCTTTATCCTGTATTTGGTTTGGAGATGAATGTGTGTTTTGTTTTGTAAAGAAACATCAGCATCGCTGAGTCAAAACGAATCATCGACATAGGGAAACCATGGTTTCCAAGTGGTGCAGGATTTTGCCCATCCACGGTATGAAGCGGGTCTTTTCACACAAGTCAACAGCCTTGATAAAACGAAAGTAATCACCCGAGATAGTGTGCGGCTCAATTCAGGGCTGAACAAACGTCACCGCGACTTGAGGACACGCGCGATTCGGTCTTTCTAATGTCAATAACCGACACTCAAATTGAGGGAAGCCCTGACATGTTCCAATGTTTATTGGTATTTACGTTGGGGAATCGAAAATCCTTCCAGGGTCTCTCAGGTGCGAAATGGATTTCGCAACCATCCGCAGAACCCCGTGTGACTGGGTGGCCGTTTTTCATTCCTGCGAGTCCAAGGCTGGGCTCCAATTTCACATAGCTGAACTCATTTCTTCCTTCGACTCGTGAGGCACATTTGAGAAATACCACGGGGGGATGCACGATTAGAGTCACGGACATATTTGTTCAACCAGGAATTTCCAAGGGGGAAGAATCCCTGTGTCATTTTGACTCTGGCTGCAAGTTGCCACTTTTGTCAGGCTGCGAGTCTGTAGCGATCGGCGGTATTTGGACCTGAAAGCTGGCTGTTTCTGGGAAGGTCTTCGAAGTCAAGAAGGCCCATTTGGGCATGTGTCAAAACCGGACCAAGGCAGTGCCCTTTTGTTTTTTCCTCAAAGCCAACCTGAAAGGCTAATTTTGAGAGGAGCACGCACCCATTTGAAGGTTATTCGGCCTTCCCTTCGGATCGGTGATACTCACTCACTTGGGTTCTTTGGCTGCGAGAGAGGGGAGTTCTTTGCCCTGGGTGACCCGTGAACGGGCTGAGATCGCCATCGCGAAATCGGGCGCGCGCGATGGGAACTTGAGAGCCCGAGACATGGCGCGTTTTGGGGCGCTTGCCCGGCCTTGATCGGTGGTCGGTCTTGTGCTGCGCGCGTTTTTTTTTGTGATCCGAAGGGGCAATGCGCGGAACTCACGGCATCTTCATGGGTACCCAGGGGTAGATGTGGTTGTGGTGGCAAAGTCCAGGGCGAACATGAGGTCCGTGGCACAGAGTTGGGGACTGGTGGTACTTATAGCGAAACAAAAGCTTATTGATTTAATTTTGACAAGTCGACCCTTTGACAAGTCGTACAAGGTACTTCTCAGCTAATGACAAGTACGACCCTTGTTTTTTAGCGAACCCAACAAAAACCGCGAAAACCAATTCGAGGAGTCTCCTTTTGGGGCCGCTGGAAGTTCCTTTTCCGTTGTGTGCCCTGCCACCCATCGACATGGGGCAAGGAACCTGGGGCCCGGTCCCTTTAGAAGGAAAATTGTCCAAACTAGGACTCCCCGAACGTCGAACGGTTCCATGTTCATTGGAGGGTAGTAATGTTGACCCCATATATATGAACCAACCCCCAGTTGAAAAAGTAGGGGGGTGTCCGGGTTCTGTGAAAAGGGTGGGAGGCTGAGGTTCCCCAGTCGTGCCCTTTCTCACCCCTTTTTTGGTTGGGAGGGTTCCCCTACTCAAATAGACTTTATTCTAACCTCTATACTGGAGGACCTAGGACGGGTCATTTCCGTGAACATGTCCAGGTCGCGAGCGTTCGCGAGCGTGCGTGCCTTTGCGCGAAGGTTGGGACCAGAACATCTACCTCCTCCGCTTGCAGTGGAGGACGAAGCCGGGGCCGAAGCACACCTTGGAGACGCACCGCGCACCTCGGCTTGCAGACGGCTGCCATTGGGGCGTGGCGTTCTCTTTTTTCGATTGGACCCACCAAAACGGTGGCTGTCTGACCAAAGCGCCATCAAAAATCGGGATACCCCATAAAAAAAGAAACATCCTCCAAGTCACCAAAACGGTGGTCGTCCTTTTGGTTTCCTTCAACACGCCAACCAAAATCGGATACCCGATAAAAAAGAAATCCTCCATGTCCTTTGGAACCGAAAGTGGAAATCCTTCAATGGAGCCTTCAAACGAAATTTCCCGCGAGAAATCCTTCAATGGGCGCCGCCTGTAATTGCTTCACTGTTCTTGGCATGTTTTTTTTGTTCCCCCTTTTTTTTCTCAGTTTTTTTTTGTTAGTTTTTTGGTTCTGTTCATTTTTACTGGGGGTCTGCAAAAAAACAAAGTTTTTAGGTATACCATACCAAGAGAAGAGATGATTGATCAACTTTTGGATTTTGGGACTCCAGTGACTGGCCGAAGCTCTGGTCCGCCTGGGGCTTCCGAAGCAACTTGCGTCGAGGGAAGCCACCGTCGATTTGTTTTATTCCTTTTGTTTCTTTGTTTTTCTTTGTGTGTGTGTTTTTCTCCTTTTTTTTCTCTCCGTTTTTTCTTCCTGTTTTTGTCCTTTTGTTTTTTTTCTCCTTTTTTTATTCTTCTTTTTTTCGGGAGTTTGTAGGGGTTCCATGTCCATTCTTTCCAGGAAACCTTCTTTCGAGAAAACCTCGATAAACCCAGTGAAAACGGATCCGGTTTTCGAAAGGAACAATGGTTGAAAGAATGGGGAATCAATCCCTAGAGGAGTCGATTCTCACTGGACTGTGGTTTTCGAAAACTCCTCTCAGGCAGCGCCTTTCTGAAACTCCAACGGAATGAAATTTGATTCCCCGACATAAATGCCAACACGCAGTTTGGTTTCGACCATGTGATGCGCTTAGTCTCGGATTTCGGCCATCCGCTCATTCGTCTCTCTTCGGCCACCCAGACGTGCGGCTCGAGTTTCATTTGGCTGGGGCTCAAAGTGAGGAACGGTTCTTTCAAGAAAGCGCGTTGGACATACCCATACCCTTCTCACTTCCTGAACTCTCATGAACTTTAGTAGTCACTTTTTGGGGCTGGACCATTTTAGTGGTAAACAAAAAGTTCAAACTTTCTTTGGCCAGTCAACTTGGGAAGTGAGTTTACCCTTTCTCCCACAAGCACAAAAGCTGACAGATTTCCCTTGAAAAGGAGCCTGGTCTTCCGGAGCCTCCTCTCAGTTTCCATCTAGCGAGAGGGTGCACGCAGCAAAGGCCCTCCGTTCCTTTCTATCATTTGTCCTATGAAATTCTGCAAGGAAAGGGACACGAAACAAAACAAATCGAAGCCTATTGGGCCTCCTTCGTTTGGGTATGTTTTTTTTAGCCTGGGAGCCTGCAAACTGGACTCCTGCTGTGGATGAGACAAAAGCCTGCACCAGTTGAATGAAAAGCCGCTGAGACTAGGCATTTACCCGCTGGTGCGAAGTTGTTTTTTTCCATCCGCAGGATGAAAGCAACCCCGATCTTGGTTGGATGGGGGTGTGCAACAAAGTAAACTTTGTGCACTCCTTGCAGTATTTTATACACGCATGCGAGTAGTTCAAGAGATCCGAGGAGATCGTGTACCGGGGCGCCCTCACCGGCAACTCCTCCTCGCCCACCCACGTGATGTTCACCTCCGACGCGCAGTACCTGGTGCCTCATGGGCTATCAGGGGGGGAAAGCCCTGGGCCTAGGAGCTTCAACGGGATTCTCCAACTCATTTGATATTGGGGGCCTTCCACCAATGACACGCAGATTGCGCAGATCGTAGCGCCAGTCAGTCCACTGTACATAGGCACAAAAAGACAGGTAAGCCCCATTTGATATTTCGGAACGAATCTGTTCGAATCGCAGCCCTTGTTTCCGGGCTTCCTTGTAAAGCCACCTCGAAAACGGGGACCCTTCGCCTCAGAAGACAACTCCGCCCTGGTGCTCCCTTTCGGCCCTTTGGCCTGTGGCTCGGGTGGCCCATCCATCCACCCACGCGACTCGGCCCCAGTTGTGGAATCCACAACAGGGATAGGTAGGGGGGTAGGTAGAGTTGAGAGCCCCTTTCGGATTTCGTGTCCTTAGCCTTCCCGAAACGGGCTCCTAGGGAGCCTTAACGCTTTTTTAGGGATCCCCCCCCTCACCCTGGACCACCCCCAGAATGGGACGCCATAAGCCCAGACCCTAGTTGGGTGTTCAACCAACATCAGGTAAATAGGTTGCAACCCTTGTTGTAAGGGGGCGATCACCCCAGTTCCTCCAGTTGCAACTATGGTGAAGCAACCTACTTAGCTGGTTGAACATCCAGGGTACCCCTTTTCTGTGGCCAACATGGAAGAGAGTGCGTCTAGTCTTTATGGTCCCCTTTTTGGGAGTGTTTTTTGGGGACCCAAGTACCCGACTTGTTTGGTTTTTCACATCCACCCCACCCTTTGGTGGTTTTAGGAGGGACCCCAGCTCCTTCCCTACCTCACGCTGCTTTTTCCACCTCCGAGTAAGGTGCCCCTTTGGGTGGTTTTAACGGGGACCCCCAGCTCCTTCCCTGATGTTGTTTTCACCAACAGGTCCCCCAGTAGCGCCCTTTCTCACCCCGTTTTGGGTTGGGAGGGTTCCCCTGCTAAATAGACTACAGAAAAAAGGGTACCCTTATTCTAACCTCTCTACTGGAGGACCTTGCAAAGATTGAGTGGGTGTCCGAATGCAATTCATGTGAAGATGGGAGGAAATATGGCCATATCTTTCTATAAGGGGGCTTGGATAGAACTGCCTGCAATTGTGGGACGGAAAAAGCTGACCTGAGCCAGATCCTTCCCTGATGGTTTTTCCACCTGGCGAGTTACCTCCAGCAGGTGTCCAACTCCACGGACCTGGCTATCCTGGTGTGGAAGACGGGCACCGGGGAGCGGCTCAGCTGCTTGTCCGCGCTGCGGGACATGAGCTTCGACTGCTGGCGCAACGTGCTGGGCTGGCCGGTGGCTGGGGCGCGGAGACCCGGAAGAAGGGGGCCGGGTTCCGGACTGGCTTGCGGTTGGGGGTAGCACGTCAGATTACCCTGAATTGGTGGTTTGGATTGGTGGGATTTGAAGCCCTGGTTCTTGTGGAGGGTAGATGGGAAACCGGAGCCTCCCAAACCAAACCATCGATTCGGCTCCAAACCACCACTTGGAGGGAAAACCACCAATCGGAGGGAAGCTGAGCACTTCATGTTCCCGCAGCTCTTGGCCGAAAAAACGAGAAGCGCGCAGCTCAGAGTCCTGCTGTCGCGCTTGGCTTGCGCGCTGGCGCTTGCGCGCGCAGCCGAGAAAACTCGACGCCATGAGTTTGGTGAAGCTGGAGGTCTGCCAGACTTTGTACCTGCTGAAGGACTCCCGAAACGCCAATTCCAAACCCGTCCTGCCGCGGTTTCCCCCCCCCATTTTCGGGACCTTCAGCGGGAACCTGCCAAAGTGGTTGAAACTGGAAGCTACCAGTAAGTTGATCAACATTTGAAGGGGAATTTCCACTGGGGTTGCAGCGCTTGGTGTTCGTGTGGTTTCTCTTTCACCAACTTTCTTCCCCGGAAATGGACAACGGTCCCCCATTCTCTTTTGGGCAGGAACCTCCGAAACGTGGCTTTCTCGTTTCAATGGAAACCGCCAGCAAGTTGATTAGCTCTCGGTTTTGGGGAAATCCAGTGAGGTCCAACGACAACGCCGGCTTGGTGGTGTGAACTCGTTCCCGCGGTTGGACGATTCCCGGTTTTTTCACAAGAACCCCACAGCGAGGCCGCTTCGTTTCTCAACCCAAAAAGGACACGGCCGCTGGGTCTTTGGCCATGCGGGGGCTGATCAAAAGGTCCGTTAAACCTGGGATGACCGGGGAAGCCATCAAAACTTTGGCGCATTTTGCTCGGATGTTAGGACTTTAACTTTTTGCAAACTAATGGGTTTTCCATTAAACCGCTCAAAGTTAAACTTTTAGCAGGGGAGCAGAAAGCAACCGAGAAAACAGATACGACCCACGACTCAAGAACGCCGATCATCTTCCCCCCCATGCGTCTGAGATCCTCACTTCCCCCAAGCGAATCGGCCTTTCAACCTTTGGGTTTTCCCATGTTGAATCGGCCATCCAAACGGTGATCGCCTTTGTTCCAGGGGCAACTGAGGATCGCATTCTGTTCAGCCAAGACTTCCTCAGGCTTCGCTCGCGAAGTTGGAACCTCAAGCTCGGGGCACCGACTTTCGACTCCTTCATCCTAACCGAGCCACGGGTAGACGATTGGGAGTAGAATCTTTCCAACCAAATGGGTGCGTTGGCCGTGTATATTCTTTTCTCATTGGCTTTTGGGTACACCATGATAATACCAGGTGTTGATTCTGACTCGCATCTTCTGACCTAATCACCGGTTAAAATCTGGCGATTCAATCAGGTCATTCGCTCGGCCGACGTTTTCCCCAGTGAGGTTTAAGGGGGTGGCTTACCTAAGTGACAACAGGCGAGTTCGCACTTTGAGAACTTTGTGGCAATGGCCATGTTTTTTGTTGCATTGGCTCCCCACCCGTTTTCCAGAGTCGCTTGGAGGCCTTTCCAAGCGAAATAGTCTTCCAATACTCTTTCGTCAGCTTCCACTCCACTTCACACGGACTCTGCCAAGGATCCTTCCTGGATAGGACCCCCTCGTTTCTGATTCCCTGTCCATCGTTGGACTTGAAACAGACCCCCTGCTTCCCTGGGAAACCCCAATGGGTCCGAGTTTCAGGTCCGGTCGACTCTCCAAGGGATAAAGGATCCATTTCGCTCGCCAGTGGCTGTTTTTGTTCCATTTGTGACCATTCAATCCTTGGACCCCACCATCCGGTCGCCGCGCCAAAGGGACCATTTCAGCGGTGTTTGTTCTTGTTTCCCATCATCCACCAGTGGGGAAGCATGATCTGAAGCCTATCCATGGGAAGGGTTTTTTTTTTTCGTTTTTGTGAGGCGTTCACGTCTTTCACGAGCGTTTTGTGTTGGAGCTTGCCATGCTTGGGATAGAAAGCACGTTGCTGCCATGTGTTCCGTGTGTTCCATGCGTCGAGCCGCTCCAAAACACCAGGACACGTGGAGAGCGAAGCTTTGGGTGGCGCTTTTTGGTCCTTTGCTTTATGACACTTTGGTTGTTGTACTCCGACCAAAAGCCACACAATCAGAGCACACATGGTAAACAAACAGAAACCTGTTTTTACCCCCTTTTTTTCTTAAAACAAAAATACGCCTGGGAGCCTCCAAGAACCCCAAACAAATTGCCCGAAACCGTTGCCCCCAAAGCTTTGGTCCCAAATCCGCGGGCGGCGGATTTGGGGGTCGTTTTGGGGAAAGAAAAAGTCGAAGTCGCCGCGAGGAGGAGCTCGAGCTCCTGAGGCTCCTGCTCTGCCACTGGGAGGCGGAGCCGCTGGAGCCAGAGAATGGGGCCACGTGACGTGTGGATGGGTCAAGAGGCAAAACCAGGCGTAGCCCAGGGTGAAGGTCCCTTCTCCCACAGAAAGGTGAAAAAAAACAGGGCTAGCCATTGGGGGGGGGTGTCCGCTATTTTTTTGGCAACCACTGCCATATGTCAGGTGGTTCTGGTTTTATCGCCCCTGGCTTAGGGACTCTTTGGGGCCGGGCTAACCGGGGGTCCGGTTCGGGGCTATCTGAGAGGGACATGGGGGACGAGCTCGACGTTCCCCACCGGAAAGCTCTTTTGTTTTCCAATGTCTAGTAGGGTTACAGTAAACTATGTTGTGCCGTGAGCAGAAATAAATGTGTCTCAAAATGGTGGGATGGACTCCGAAATGGTTGCCATCTCTAGGGATTTAAAACTTGGGATGTGAATTTGAGGGGATTTAAGCTTGCCAATATCTACGATGATTTCCACTATCCCGAAGCACCTACCCCAGGTTGGAGAACGTGATATAAATTCATGCATATGTAGTGGCACCCTAAACCCTATATCCCATAAAATCCCTGGGGGTAGCTTTGGTTTGGGGGTGTTGGAAGCCATATTACTTTGATACATTTTGCTTGGATGTTAGGACCTTAACTTTTTGCCAACTAATGGGTTTTTCCATTAAACCACTCAAAGTTAAAAGAAGAAATAGCAGGGGAGCAGAAAGCAAACAAGGTTAGACAATATGAACTTCTTTTGCCCAAATGGCTCGAGTCGTCCCTCTGGGGTCGGACTTTGGCCCAGCACACGAATCAGCGGGCACTTCAAAAGAAAACCCCGGAAAGAGGTTAGCGCTCTTAGTTGGACCACAATCTGTTTTTTGGTAAGCATAGGGACAGCCCATTTGAAGCACGTAGTTGGAGAACAGCCCAATTTCAGAACAGCCAAACAACACAAGCACTCATTTTGTTTTGAATCAAATGCGCAAATGCACAAGTCACTATTTGAAGACACTTGGCGGGGAAAAAGGACTCGGCACCCATTTCTGGTGGATGGACATGGGACGTTTTTGTTTTTATCGCAAACGAGAAGGGACAAATAGACTAGGTCCCTCAGTAGTGCCCTTTTACCCTTTTTTGGGGGAGGGTTCCCCTACTAAAATAGACAGAAAAAGAACATCGGGTACTCTTATTCGAACCTCTCAAATCTGGAGGACCTAGTAGAGTCAACCCATGGGGTGCCCGGGGAAAGGGGGAATTCACTTTGGGAATTCTTTGGGAGGTTCGAAACACCCCCGGAAAGGAGGACGGGTTTTCTTAATTAGTTTGTTCCGGGGTCAGCATGGATATGGCTGTGGCTCAAGACACCGGTACCAAAATGGAACCCTGGTAGGTGGAAACATGGACCAAAACCTGCGTAGCTTCTCCTGTTAAATTTTGAGCCACACCCATATGTCTCTTTTGGAGTTGGTTCCGCTTTTTTGGGATTTGACAGGAGAACCGAAGCAAGTTTGAGGTTCCGAAAGTCTAGCCTTGCACGACACCACAGCCATAGGTGTCCTTTTAGGTCAGTTTGATTAGATATAGATGGGTTAACCCCATCTATCTTATCAAGATGAGTGTGTGTGTGTGTGTGTGTGTGTGTGCCTGCGTGCCTGCGTGCCTGCGTGCCTGCGTGCCTGCGTGCCTGCGTGCCTGCGTGCCTGCGTGCCTGCGTGCCTGCGTGCCTGCGTGCCTGCGTGCCTGCGTGCCTGCGTGCCTGCGTGCCTGCCTGCCTGCCTGCCTGCCTGCCTGCCTGCCTGCCTGCCTGCCTGCCTGCCTGCCTGCCTGCCTGCGTGCGTGCGTGCGTGCGTGCGTGCGTGCGTGCGTGCGTGCGTGCGTGTGGGTGGGTGGGTGGGTGGGTGTGTGTGTGTGTGTGTGTGTGTGTATGGGTGGGTGCGTGCGGTCGTGCGTGCGTGCGTGTGTGCGTGCGTGGGTGCGTGCGTGCGTGCGTGTGTGTGTGTGTGTGTGTGTGCGCGAGTGCTTTTGAGGAAGCCTTTTCAGGCTGGCTTTTCACAAGAGAAGGACCACCATGTTTTGGGCCCCCTCAGAAATTATCCTTTTGGAAAAATGAACCACCCCGAAAGGTTTAAGTCTAGCCCTTGCGTGAAATTTCACAGCTGCGAGCAAAAGCTGCACGCCCAACCGCAGTGGGACATCACTCATCATGTGGCTGTGTTCAAAAAAACGGAATTCCAAAATGGGTTGCCCGATCGGCAAGTGGAAACATGGGTACCAAAACCGGCGGTTTGCCCCTCCGATCGTTTAATTTTGGTTGCCACACTCATCTTTGGTGCATTTTGCTTGGCTGTTAGGACTTTACCTTTTTGCCAACTAATGGGTCTTTTTCCCACTAAACCACTAAAAGTTAGTCACTTTTAGCAGGGGAGCAGATTTCGCAACCGAGTCATGTTTCAGTCAAGTGGAACCCTGCGGTCCATGCCACGCTCCGTCCAGGCGGGCGCTGCTTCCCACGCGGCCCTGAAGGTGCTGCCGTTTCTGTCGGTGCAGCTGCTGCCGAAGAACCCGCTGGCCGTGGGGAGCGCCCACACCTGCGTGCCATGGTTGTTGGGAAACATGGTGGGTTTAGTAGTCGAAATGACGTATTTTTGTTTGCAAGGGGACCTCATGGTTGTTGTTGGGATTATTTGTTTTTTGCTTATTGCGGTTGAGTGGTTGAAATCCAACCACTTCACTTCTAAACATTTTCAAGTTTTTGCTCCCCTTCCAACGTCAAGCAAGGTGCTCTCGGAGAGATCGGGGCGGCTGCGGGTCTTCGGCAGCGGCTTGGCGATCGCTTGATCGCTCGCGGGATCTCGCGGGCGCGTGGTATCTGAAAGGGCTCGGTTACCGCCTTTGAATCAAAGGGAGTTAAGATGACCACCGTTCTTTACCCAGGCCCTAGGATATGAATCCTGAGTGGAAAAATCCTCCCCAATTGGTTCTCTCAGAATAGCGATTTGGTTCCCGAAAATGGTGGGTTTCCTTTTGGCTTCCCTTGAAAACCATTTTTTGGTTGTAAAGGGACACCCAACGGAAAACCGAAATCCATTTTGGGGATCTCCTAATTCTGAGAGACCATTACACCTTTCGGTATTGCCTTCTTACGGTGGCACAAGCCGTCAAGGAGCATCATTGGTGGCAACCCCCTCCCCCCACAGGGCATTTTTGTTTTCCCAAGCTTGCCTTATTTCCGGGGGTCTGTGATGAAGGTCACTTCCTTGGATGCCTTAAACCCCCGGTTTGGGGGTTCGTAGTACAGTTGGCCAATGGCTTCGTCTCGAAATGGATGGGTGTGATCAAAAAAAAGCTGTACCAATATGGCTCCGTAAATGGTTTACCAAAGACTAAAACCTGTGTAACCCTGGCTGTTGAAAATTTTGAGCCACAGATGTATCTTTATCTACATATGCCACTCGGTTTGTGACAAGGTCCCTTACAGTGAACCGCCCGAGGGGTTCTCACAATCGCAGTCACGGTGAATATGGGTCTGGTTTGATGGAACCCCTATTTTGATGGAACGAACCCGTTTTGGTTGGTTTCAACGGGAAACTACAAGAAAATCACATGTCTTCTTGATTGTAAGACAAGTCCATATATGCGCTCATAAAGGGAATGCGGTTTCAACCATCCCAAACGGGCTCCCCAGTGAGCCAATACGCTTGCTGTACCATTCTCAAGGTAGGTGTCAAATCTAGCCAGAAGCTGTTTGGACAATTCCTTATCAATATATTATACATGTATACATATACATATACATATACATATACATATACATATACATATACATATACATATACATATACATATACATACATAGATACATAGATACATGGATACATGGATACATGGATACACAGATATATAGATACATTACATTACATTACATTACATTACATTACATTACATTACATTACATTACATTACATTACATTACATTACATTTACATGTACATTTACATTTACATTTACATTACATTACATTACATTACATTGCATACATGCATAAATCCATGCATTCGTGCATGCATGCATGCATGCATACATCCATCCATCCATGCATGCATGCATACATACATACGCACATCCATCCATGCATGCATACATACAGACAGCCATACATACATATATATGCATACACACACACACATACATACATACATACATACATACATACATACATACATACATGCATGCATGCATGCATGCATGCATGCATGCATAATATATGATGTAACGCCCCGGTATGTAAAGATGAATTAGGGTTGCGTTCCGCCAGATTTCGGCTTGCGGGTGATGACCACACTGGGGCACTCCTCCGAAGGAGTGTGCCAGTGTGATCTTTGCCTGACCCTTAGCAGGGTCAGGGACTTGTGCCGGGGGTCCAGCTCCTACTTTTTCTGGAGCAGGGCCCTCGAGCGCGTTCGGCTGCTGCAGGGGGAGATCCTGGACCTTCGGGACCGGGATCACTGGCTGGAGAGCCAGCCGAGAGCGTGGAGGTCACCAGGAGTCCGGGGGGTCAGGAGTTGAAGAAAGGAAGGGAAGGCTTCCCGTGGCACCAGGTCGGAGGCTCAGTTGGTGTCAAGGAAGAACCCCCCGTGAGTGAAGAGGAGGAGGAGCATCCCAGGGAAACAAGGCACAGGACCCCCACCTCTCCTGTGTCGTCAAGCAAGGAGGAGAGAGCTAGGAGGCAGAGGAGCACTTCAAGTGAGGGGCACATTAAACGGCTAATTGCGAAAAGCAAGGAAGCCACTGAGGAGCGGGCTGAAGGTGAAGAAAAGAAGGAAGGAGGCTCGGACGGCGAGGAAAAGGCGGACATCAGGAGGGACATCAGCAGATCCCCTTTGAGGAGGCACCCGGGTGGTTATATTGAGGATTTGCTCATCCGGCCCCGAGAGGAATACAGAGGAGAAGATAGGTGGGGAAAGAACAAGGGCAGAAAGAAGAGAGAACAGCAGAGGAGGTTCAAGGAGCGCTTCGGTGGAGGAAAAGGCAAGGGTGGTGGAAAGTACTGGGGAGGCCGAGGAGTTTGATGCCTCCGAAGTTGGGCGGAAGAAGAGGTGCTGCTAAAGCTAAGGCAGCAGCAAAAGGAAGAGCAAAAGCCCTTGCCAGGCTGCCGGTAGCTCCTCCCAGGGTCCGAAGGAGACCAGCAGGGGAGGAGGAGAGAGAGGACCCTGCCGTGTTGAGGAGGCCGGCGGGAAGAGAGGCGCTTTCGACTGGAGAGAGGTTCGAGCGAGGTGAGAGTGTGAACGTTGTGGAGTTGCCGAGACACCTGATTAGGCCAGGCCAGAGCTTGATCGTGGTAGAAGGCAACTACTGGGAAGCCCCCGTCACGCTATGTGGTACAGTGGAGAAAGTTGAAGAGGACGGAGCAGGGGTCGTCGTGGAGGTTCGGCTCTCAGGGACGGAGAACGAGGACCTCCTGAAGTGGTCAACAGGGAATCCGGGGAGCCGTTGCAGGTTGCACATGTGCGGAGACGGTTGCGTGGCAGGTCTATGCGAGGACGGGCTGGTCCACGTGAAGAAAGTCAGGCTTCGCCTCCCAGGAGCAGGGGAGGCGTGGCTGGACAACCTGGTGGGCCATGTGCCGGCTCAAGTGGACGACACGGCGGCCTTGAGAGAGAAGGCCAACGAGCTGGACAAGGAGGATTTGAAAGTCGGAGGAAAGAGCAAGAGGCCAAAGGAGAAGCAAAAAGAAGGTGTGGAAAAGAAGAGGGCGAGAAGCGAGTCGAGTTCTTCAACCAGTTCATCCAGCCGGAGGAGAAAGAAGAAGAGAAAAAAGAAGAAGAAGGCAAAGAGAGGAGTAAAGGTCGAAGCCACGAAGGAGCTGAGCGCCGTGTTCGGAAACACAGGTATGGACCCGGACGTCAAAGTGAGGAGGCAGGTGGTGAGAAAGGTGAAGGCAGATGGACTCCTCCGATCGGGACTCGTCGGGAGAGGAGTCGACAGAAGAAGAGGACGCGGGGGTCTTCGAGGAGGCGCAGAGAATGAGTGAGAGGCTTCGGAGTTCTAGCGGCGGCCTCCATCAACGAGATGAAGAAGTCCCTGGTCGCGGCTTCTGGGCAGCTGTGGGGTCAGAGCAGAGACCTGGCGCCGGTGGGAGTGCATTACTTCAGGACGGTGCTTCAGCTAAAGCTCCATGGCGCGATGGCGCGGGAGGCGTTCACGCTGGCCTATGGTGCGGACCTCCTAGCGCAAGGGAGGGTCGCCGAGGCGATCGACCTGTTGCTCCAGCGTTTGAAATCGTTGGAGCAGGTCTCTCAGGGGATGCCGTGGCAGACTGCAGAGAAGATGGAGCTGTGCCCCTTGGACACAGCTCAGGTAGCAACCCGGGCGGAGGCAGCAATCGCAATAAAGGAAGCTCGCGGAGAAGGTGCCTGGCAGAACCCTGGGAAAGGAGCTCCTGGGAGGGAGCAGCAGCCGAAGGGTGGTTGGCGAGAGCCCGGAAAAGGACGAGATGGCAAAAGCAAGAGCAAGAAAGGCAAGGAGGAGAAAGGATCGAAAGGAGCGGAGAAGAAGTAAAGAAGGCAGAGGTCAGACGAGAGGAGGAGGAATCAGCCTGGAGAACTCCTAGGAATGGGAGTGGGGAAGATCGGGATGCAGCAGAGGAGGAGACCTTGGATGGCAACATCCCTCGGAAGATGACAGACCTAGAAGCAGGAGTGCAGCAGCAGAGAGTGAATAGTGGAGGAATTGAAGTACTGCCGTTAGTGCTCCTAGCTGGGAGGTGGCGCGTCTGCCCTCGGGCCGACCTGAGGTAGGGGTGCAAAGCAAGGTAGAGGAGATGCTGGGGGGCCTTACCTTTGGGGAGGGAGCAGTTCATTTGGGAGCATCGCTGTATCGACATTTGTCTTCAAGCTGCATGACCAAGTCCATTGGCAATATTTTTCCGTTGCCATCAGCTTTTTGCTCCCTCAAGGAACTATTCCGTAACAACAAGGATGAGGACTTGAAACATGATTTGGTCATTGAATCATTTGAATGGCTCCCCAGCGTCTGTGGCTGGGGACCCCCTGCCAACAGCGGCTTTTGGGGGGTCTCATGGACGACGCATGTTCCGCCGGCTGATGGACGGAAAAGGCTGAGATCCTGGACTGGGGCGAGTTCTTCAGAGTCAAAGGGGTTGATTACCAAGGTGAAGAGGTCAAGGTCGCACGTGCGGTTTCTTGGGAGATGTTGTCCCCTGCGTTGCCTTCGGAAGTTGGGACGGTCGCCCTTTCTGACGTATGTGATGCCGGGTGCAAACATTATGTTGAGAACTTCGAGAACTATCTTCTCCCGGTTGAGGACCAGGTTTTCACGAAGGGGCCAAAGGTCATGGTTCCTCCCGGTGATTGGGAGGAGCTGGCAACAAACCTGGTTAAGCGAGGCATCTGCAAAGTTATTGAGGAGTCAGAGGTGTATCACGTTCAGGACAAGCCCCTGTTGAATGGTCTCTTCGGGGTTTCGAAGGGCGACTGGTCAGGCGAGATTGAGGTTCACCGACTCATCATGAACTTGATACCCTTGAATCGGATTTGCAGGGGCATTGAGGGCGACATTGCTACTCTCCCTTCGTGGAGTTCTATGGGGCCTCTGTCGCTGGATATCGATGAAGACCTTCTTATATCCAGCGAGGACGTGAGATGTTTCTTTTATATTTTAAAGTACCCATTTCTTGGCATCGGTTCATGGCCTTCAACCGCCCGTTGCCTAAGAGCCTCTGTGAGGGGAAATCAGGAACATGTTATTTGGCGGCGACCGTTCTTCCTATGATTTTCAAGAATTCTGTGAGCATAGCCCAACATGTCCATCGTTATGTTTTGCGGCAGGGCTTGATGAACTCAGGTCGCCTAAGTGGAGGGGATCAGGAATTGAGGCGTGACAGGCCCTTCCCTACGTCGGCTAGCATGTTCCGCATTTATTTGGACAATTTTGACGAGCTCACAAAGGTGAACAAGGACTTAGCCGCTACATTGAAGGGAGAGTTGACTCCCACTGTGTTGGCCCTTCAGGAGGAGTATGCAAGGTGGAACATTCCAAGGCACCCCAAGAAAGCTGTGGCCCTCCAATCTCAGGCGGAAGTACAGGGAGCAGTGGTTGATGGGGTGCGCGGAGTTGCCTATCCCAAGGTGGACAAGATCCTGAAGTATGTGGTTTTGGGGCTGAAGCTTGCCAGTTCTACCTTTAGCACGCAACGACAAGTTCAGAGTGTGGGAGGGGGATTCGTGTATATGACTATGTTCCGTAGACCCCTCCTTTCGGCGTTGAACCACATTTGGTCTTACATCAAGAGTTTCGAAGGTCTGAGAGAAGGATCCGCCCTACGTACTCCCGAGTTGGTTAAGATGGAGATCTTGAGGTTTGTGGGTTTGGTTCCCCTGGCTCACTTTGATTTCCGCACAGAGATTCAGGGGATGGTCACAGCAAGTGACGCTTCATCTACGGGGGGAGGCGTAACCCGGAGCAAGGGCTTGAGGTTATGGGGTGTTATTGCCTCCCAAATGCCACAACGAGGAGACCTTCCGGAACCCTTTGATTTTTGCGCGGTGGTGACCATTGGGCTCTTCGATGGCATTGGTGCACTTCGAGTGGCGGCGGAGGCATCGCAGCTGCCGTTGCTGGGGCACATTGCCGTTGAGAAGAATGCAGAGGCCAGGAGGGTTACAGAGTCCAGGTACCCTGCCTCCCTTATGTGGGAGGATGTTACCACTGTGGATGCCGAGGTGGTGAAGGGTTGGGCCACCCATTTCTCGCAGGCAAGTTTGATCGTCGTTGGAGCTGGGCCCCCGTGCCAAGGTGTCAGTGGGCTCAACGCTGACCGTAAAGGGGCCCTCAAAGATGAAAGATCATGCTTGTTCGCCCATGTTCCTAGGATCTTGGAACTGGTTAAACAGGCTTTTCCCTGGTGTCAAGTTCGTCTGCTTATGGAATCTGTAGCTTCTATGGATGAGACAGATCGTCTCCTTATGTCAGCATCAGTGGACCTAGCACCAGTGCGAATTGATGCAGCAGGAGTTTCCGTCGCACATCGCCCTCAGCTTTACTGGTTTGATTGGGAGGTCCCTGACATGCCGGACGTTTATAAGAGGGATGGTGAGGTTGTTGAGATTGAGCTTGTCGCTTCTATCGACCCCAGTATTTACATGGAGGCTGGATGGACCATGGGAAAACGACTCATACCGTTTCCCCCCTTACCAATACCGAACTTGTTACTGCCTTTTCAACAAGATGAGGTTCGTCTGCCCAATGTGCGAGAGCGAGAGGCCATGATGGGGTTCCCCATCAACTATACGGAGAACTGCCTCCCAAAAAGTGGCTCGACTCCCGAACAAAAGGCTACCAAGCCTGGAACAGGACGCAACTTTATGATTTTTTTGCAGAGACCCCCTTTATCCTTTTCCCGGAAACGAGGGTCGGACGACGAGGAGCTCGCTTTGGCCAAGAAATTCTTGAACCATGTGAGTTTGAAGGGCGAAGATATTTTAGTTCACTCGTCTGCTGGGGAACAACTGAAATTTCACAGGTTGCGGGCTAGCATCCCTTCGCAGTGTTGGAGGTGGGTGACTGTAGCCGGTTGGGGTTGGAGAGGAGACCCCGAGCACATCAATTGCCTGGAACTCCGGGCCATTTTAACAAGTGTCAGGTGGTGGATTGAAAAGCGCAAGGTGACTAAAGCTAGATTCATTCACTTGACGGACAGTTTAGTATGCATGCACTCCCTTGCCCGAGGGCGTACCAGTAGTCGCAAACTTCGCAGAACGCTGACCCGCATTAATTGTCTTCTTTTGGCCTCCCGTTGTTTTCCTGTGTGGGCCTATGTCCACACATCTCAGAACCCGGCCGACCGGCCGAGTCGGCGGAGTGTCCGGAAGAAATGGGTAAAGTGAGCCCTAAATGTGTGGAGGGGAGAACCAAAGAAGACAGGATTCGCAAGCGACTCGGGAGTTTGAAACAAATCACAGTTCAGCCTGCTACTCGTGTTCGGTATGACCGAGCTTTGAAAGGTTTCTTTTTGTTCCTGAAGTTTAATGGGAAGGTTCTGCCGACTGATCAGTCCTTCTTGGATGAGCTGGTCGGGGAATATTTGGAGCATTTGTGGGCAAATGGTGAAGGAAGGGCCCTGGGGTCTGATACTTTAGCCGCAATACAAGGTGCGCAGCCCCAGGTGCGAGGCAAGCTCCAGCAAAGCTGGAGACTTATGAAAACCTGGGTTTCCAATGAGATGCCCAATCGTGCGCCACTTTCTGAAGACATCCTTCACGCGCTGGCGCTTTTTCGAAAGGACCCGCTTTTTGCCTTTCACTCCTTGTGGGCTTCTACTCCATGTTGCGCACTGGGGAAATTTTGGGTATCATGAAATCCCATGTTTCTCCGGGAGCCGGATTTACTCCGGCCGTCATTTCCCTTGGTCTTACGAAAGCCGGCAAGAGGCAAGGTGCTGCCGAAAGTGTCACCGTGTCGGTCGCCGATGTAGTTCGTCGACTTTCGCAATGGAAGGAGTCTGCAGTGACTCCCACCAATTTGTGCCCCCCGCCCCATATGTGGCGTCCGAATTTTGCGCAGTATCTGAAGGATCTGCATTTGGACGCATTTGAATTTCGTCCATACAGTTTAAGGCGCGGTGGGGCAACGTTTTGGTTTCGTAAACATGGATCTTTGGATAAGATTCTTGTTCAAGGTCGTTGGCAGGCGCAGAAGACCGCCCGTATTTACCTCAATGAGGGGTTGGCCATTCAAGCTGAAATGAAGACGCCCAACCACCCGGATGTGGGGGTGTTCCGAAATCAGTATTTGAAAGCGGTCAAAGCACCGTTGCCGAAATTTGAGCATGCCAAAGGCAGGACAGGGGGACGTGGAAAGAAAGTCAAAAATGAGGTCGAGGGGTAATCCGACCCTTTTTCAAAACCGCATCAGGGAAGATGGCGGTTGAAGTTTTAAGGAGTCGAGGGGTAATCCGACTCGAAAGACTTAACCCCCTTTTAGTTTCTGGGCTTGGCCAGACAAAGTGAGGTGGTCTTTAATCAAGGCTGGGGCTGGGGCTTACCTGGGCTTGGCCAGGAAGATTCCGGGGTCTTGATAACCTACTGGGAATAGGTGTTTGGGGTTTAATACAAGTTTCAAGTTTCAATTTTTCAGACAAATCTGGTCTTGCAGCGCGGAAAAGAGCAAGCCAGAATGAATCTTTATATATATACATGTACCTAGCCACCCTAGTGGTGTTTTTCCACGAGGCAACAGCCACGGCCAGTGCGCAGTGCCCGACGACGTAACATCGGACGTCGTCAAAGACGTGGCGGCGGGGCTTCGCCACACCTGCGCCGTGCTGTCGGATGGGTCGCTGCGGTGCTTCGGGGACAACGGCGCCGGCCAATGCGAGGCTAGGGCCGAGACTGGACGAGTTGGGCAGAAATGCATATATGTATACAAATATGTGTGTATATATATATATATATGGTACCCCCCCCCAGGGACCCACCTTTTTGATGAATTCACTGGTATTCGCAGTGTTTTCTACCCTTTTTTGGGCTTTGGGGAGAGCAATGAAAAAGAAGCATTTCCAAGGACGTTCTGGAAGCTTCAGGCTTGATTGAAACCGATTTAAACCGATTTAACTTAAATCGGGCATGGATTCAAGATTCAAGATTCAAGAATCCAGGCCAAAGTTTTCCAGGGATTCTTGAATCCAGACGTCGATTTAAGCCGGTTTAAACCGATTTAACTTAAATCGGGCATGGATTCATGATTCAAGATTCAAGACTCCCTGGAAAAGTTTGGCCTGGATTCTTGAATCTTGAATCCATGCCCGATTTAAGTTAAATCGGTTTAAATCGGTTTAAATCGACGCCTGGATTCAAGAATCCCTGGAAAAGTTTGGCCTGGATTCTTGAATCTTGAATCTTGAATCCATGCCCGATTTAAGTTAAATCGGTTTAAATCGGTTTAAATCGAGACCCAAATTCAACATTGCACTTTGCGCGGCTGTACTTTAGCACAGTGTTGTGCAAGCATCCAAGTCCTGATTATTCATTCAACCTGTTTCAATCTAGGCCCACATTCAAGATTGCAGGTCAAAGTTTTCTAGGGAATCTTGAACCCAGGCTCAACTGAAATTTCAGTCGGTCTCAATGGGTTTCACTCGGGCCTGGACTCGCGTTTGCAAAGAAGACTTGTCTAGAGAATATGGGTTCTTTCCTTATCAAATCCTGTTAAAGCTCATATTGAATTGCAAGTATATATTGGAAAAGGAACTCTATTTAAACTCGCAATCTCAAATTTGATTACTATTAGGATTCTGACCAAATATTTCCGTATTGAGTCCCAATTAAATCCTGTTCAAGTTCAAATGAGCATTTAGAGAGCGTTCGTTGGTGGAGATGTGAATTGAGTATGAAAAACGCTACACAACACTGTGTTTTACGGTGTTTTCTGACCAAGGTAGTGTTAGGACTAGTGAAAGACACAAGTTTGGGACCTTTGGATTCGTTCCTTATGCATTCCACTTAGTATGTCTTATCAAATTCAACCTTTCTTCTGATTGAAATTCAATGCAGCTTAAGAAGGACATACTCCAGCCAAAATTGCGATTTAGATTCGAACTTAAATATTGACTGTTTATGTCAATTAAATGGTACAAACTATTTTAATGGCCTGCGGCCTGGTTCCGCCGCCCCCACACACCTTAGAATTTCGGCCCGGGACGAGAGAAAGCACGCGATATGTAGACAGACGCAGACAGACACAAAGACACGCAGACAGACACGCAGCGGGGGGGGAGGGTCTTCGCGGACACGAAGACAGACGCAGATGCGCAGGCAGACGCAGACAGAGCCAGACAGACACAAATACACAGACAGACACGCGGGGGGGGGGGACACGAAGAAAGACGCAGATACGTAGACAGACACAGACAGACACAGACAGACACAAAGAGACAGAGACAGACACGCAAGGGGTCTTCGCGGACACGAAGACAGACGCAGACAGACCCAGACAGACACAAAGAGACACAGACAGACACGCAGGGGCAGGGGGGGTCTTCGCGGACACGAAGACAGATGCAGATACGTAGACAGACATAGACAGACACAGGGGGGGGCGGAGGGGTGGGGGAAGACTACCCGAAGCCTAGGGAAGAAGCCCGAAAGCACAGGACACGCGCGTTGTTTGGTCCCGAAACAGTATCGGAAGACTAGGAGAAGAAGCCGGAAGATTACGGAAGACTACGGGAAGAAGCCGAAAGATTGCGGAAATTTACGGGAAGAAGCTTGAAAGATTTCGGAAGACTACGGGAAGAAGCCGGAAGACTACGGAAGACTACGGAAGACTACGGAAGACTACGGAAGACTACGGGAAGAAGCCGGAAGACTACGAAAGATTACTGGAAGAAGCCGAAAGATTACGGAAGATTACGGGAAGAAGGCGGAAGACCACGGAAGATTACGGGAAGAAGCCGGAAGACTACGGAAGACTACGGGAAGAAGCCGAAAGATTACGGAAGATTACTGGGAGAAGCGAAGCCGGAAGACTACGGAAGACTACGGGAAGAAGCCGGGGGGGGAGGGGGGGGGAGGGGGGGGGGGAGGGGGGGGGGAGGGGGGGGGGGGGGGGGGGGGGGGGGAAAAAATACATAAAATGGCACTTCTAACATCAAAACCAAATAATCAAACAGCATACAACAAAATCAGCAAAATTCACAGAAAACAAGATAAGAACCACCAAGCAACTCAAAAACCAGAACAACCCCCAACAAAATATTTAATCAAAGCATAAAACATTAAATAATTCAAACAAGCATACCAACAAAACAGCAAAAATAAAAACCATCAAAGAACACAAACTCAAAAACACACATCAACAAAAACAAAGCAACATACCAACAAAAAATATCAGAAGAGTATCAAACAAAATAAAATACAAACAGCCAAAGCACGAAAAAATCAAAAGAGCATACCAAGTTCAAACAACGCACTTTGAAAGAGTCAGCCAAATCAAGGAAAATTAAAATATTTCAATCTTTACAAACTATAAGTACAGTATAATTATAACATATAAGATTTTACATGTTATTATTATAGTATGATTATAATTTCAGTACAGGATAATAATTTAATTGACAAATCTTTCTTCTTTCATACATCATTTTAAAAATAATATTAATATCTCTCACTGTATTTTTAACATTAAACTTTTTATAAATTTCAATATAAAATTTAATATATTCTTTAATATCTTGTCCTTTCTTTTGACTATGACACAACATCAATAATATATCAGCAATCATTACATATTTTTCTTACTGATTTTAAGAAACTGTTTAACATATTCATAAGGTGGTAATTTATTTACAGTTAGAAATATTAAAATCTCATCTTCTACATTTCTATTATGTCTCCCTTTTATTCTCAACAGACATTTGATTAAAACTTGATTATCTCTCCATTCCTGGCAATTTTCACATTCATCTTCTTCATCCATTGAATAATTAATAATATTATTCACTGTTTCATTAGGTAAATTCAATTTATACAATTCCATATTTTCTTTTTTGAAGTGACAACAATCATAGCATTTTTTATTGATATAATTATTGATTTTATCACCGTTCATTTTCCTCTTATTATATTAAGGCACTATTTCTTTAAGTCATTTTTAAGGCATTAAGTAAAATTAAGAAACAAACCATAAGTTTAGTGTAATTATAACATAAAATATTTTACATGTTATAATTATATTATGAGTTCAACTTATTAACTCAGCTATATAATGCTTCTTAATTATTTTCATTATTTTATCATCCGTCTTATCATTGTAAAAATATTATTTCCTATTGATTTTTCAAACCATCCCATTGTTCTAATTGCTATCACCATCGTCCAATCCCACGATTCCCATCGTCCAATCCCACGATTCCCATCGTCCAATCCCACGATTCCCATCGTCCAAGCCCACGATTCCCATCGTCCAAGCCCACGATTCCCATCGTCCAAGCCCACGATTCCCATCGTCCAATCCCACGTTTCCCATCACCCAATCCCATGATGTCCATCGTCTAAGCCCTTAATTTACAATAATGAAATACCATTGAAACCGAGCGACTTTGCAACAAGTCCAACACTGCCTGTTCCGCTAAACATCTCTAATAAGTTCATTATTAAAGATATTTAGATAATATTATCTATGAATAAAAATCCCTGTTTCCTCGTTAAAAACTAAACTATGTTTAGTTTTCAATGAGTAAATACAACTTTATGAATAAAGTTGCGTTTCCTCATCATAGTCAATTTGATAAAATGTCATAGTTGAAGCCTTCGGTTCTTTAATTTCTTTGTTATTAAGTTTGTTTAAATACACTTGTTTCTTATTTTTATATTCAGCATTGGTTCTATCTACTTCTTTACTTTGATAACTGTTTGTTAAATGTTTCTTCTTTTCCATTTCTTGCAAGATTTCTAAAATATTCTTATTCTGTTCTAAAACCTTGTTCAGTTTTTTGACAATCTTTTCTAATCCTTCATTCATGTAAATATATATATTATATTATAAAATAAAACTTTTAAAACTAAACTTTTATTTTACAAAATCATATATCATTATAAGTCAATTCAAAATTAGTTATTGTGTAACTCGTTAAATTATTATTCAATTTACCAATTAAATTACAAATAATAGTTTTTCTAAATTTTGAATATTTATGAAACTTTTCAATATTATCTGTAATATAAATTATTAAACATTTAATACATTCAAACACATTAACAACATTAATGTTACTATTTTTGTAAATATTATTCATTTTTCTCAATGTAATTTCATAAAACTGAATAGCATTTTTATTATCATAATTAGCAATAAATCTTAAAGTATATGAATATATTCTTTTACAATAGAATTTTAAATCTGATTGTTCAAGTAAATCAGCATAATTAATAGAATTATAAAACATGTTAAAATCAATTTTGCTATTTCTAAAGTCATTAACAAAATTAAGTAATATATCATTTTCGTTATATTCTTCAATAAAATTATTTAATTTCAAGTCTTTTACATCAATGAATTTAATAATATTATTTATAACATCTTGCATTATAAATAATAATAGAAATAATTTTAACTATTATTTTTTCATCATTTCGCGTATAGTTTCCTGAGTTTCCTTATCACCATTATCGGATGGTGAGGCATGCCGTCCCCATTTGATAGCAATATTATGAACATCTGTTTCTAAGTTTATACTGTCTTTAGTTTTATCAATATTCATTTTCTTATCATTTTTACTTATTTTGAAACTGGTTGGAATACACGAACATTTACAGTTTCCTTTCTTTTGTATTTCTAATTCATTCTTCATTTCTAAGATTTTTTTACACATTGGACAAG